ATCCTTTCTGTCATCCTGTACCACCACAAATTTGTACTCTAATCTTTGAGGCTCTGGTTCAGGCTCAAAGTAAATTGTTCAACTTTATCTCAATGTGCCATGGAGAAGCAATACCCTTTTTTTTACCTTTGTCTTGTTCTCTTTTCTCCCAGCCTGGCACATCTTACATATATTTGTTCCATATTAAAAAAAAAAAAAAAAGCACATGTATACTCCACATAGTAAAAACTCCATCAAATAAGCAGTGATGGCTGGAGAGCAGCTTGGCATGGTCACAGAAAACACCCACGGGATGGCTCTTACACCACTCTGCCCTCAAAAGAGCAGTTTAGGGTTATCTGCTGACTCACTATCTGCCTTGCTATCCCAGTGTGACCTTGAATTGGATTTGGCATTTACAGAGCAAACTCCTCAAAGTATTTTACATACATTTGTTCCCTATGTTTCAAGTGTCACCTTCTGTTTTCTTCTCCTTTTTATTGCAATGACACAAACAATTTTGCTTGGGTTTTGTTGTTGTTTGGTGGGGTTTTGGGGGGGTTGGTAGCATAATTTTGTTTGAGTTTTGGGTTTTGTTTTTTTCAAAATACCACATTGTCTCCTAAAACTTCATTGCTTCCAACTGCTTATTCCCCACTGACTAAAGTTATTATCACTTGTTTATGACAATTTCCACAGCAACCAATATAATCTCAGAGTGCTGTGACTTCAAGTGGAAAATAAGCACCATAAATTCATGCAAATGTCACCTGTTACAAGCAAAAACAAGAGACAAGGAAACAGAAACTCACACGTGAAACAGGAGTGTCAACATAGAAAGCATATCAAAGTTCTCAGGAAATAGTATTGCATTCTTCCTACAATAAAGATGTCAGTTCAGCACAGAAAGCTTCCAGCTGAGCACAATGCTCTCAACACCCATAAGTCAGATTGCATAGCAGATGCTAAATGTAAAATCCATTAAGACCAATTAGATTCCACAGAAGAAAAAAATAGTAACAGCACGCACAGGCAATCTTGCACTACACAACAGTACCAAGAGATACAGTGAACCACAGAAAAACAAACAAAAAACCCCCAAAAAAATCAAAAAACCCCCAACCAAACAATGTACATTGCACCCTTTTCTCACAAAGAGGCCAGCTAACAAAAGGTATGTTACAGTGCCCACAGTCACATGAAGAAGCAAGGTCTCCTGCACCCAGTTAGAAGCAACTTCTGTGAAGGCCATCACCTATTGCACACCAACAGATAATTAATCCATTGTCCTCCATGGCAGTTTGAAACTAAGCAGCAAAAGAGTTTCAGCCTCTTTCCCAAACTGCATATGAATTTCATGTTACATTAACCTGACCCAAGTCATCCCCATGTGTGATGAGGTGAGAGCATTAATAACATGGAAGCAGGCTATTGGGGGGTAAAAACAAACAAAAAAAGGAAAAGTTGGTGGTACACTCTGATAGAGCCTTTCCACTACCATGTAAAAGTTTATTCCTTTTATTGACCATTAGGAGATGGGAATTGTAATGGACACACGGAACAGATATGTGAGCACTTTTCAGAACTAAGCCACCAATACAAGATGCAGGGTAAATTCTGGCCATGTGCTTAACTGTGTAGACAAATGAAGATGTCATTGCAGGCATGATAGCTTGAACACCACTGGAGGCAAAGAATGTAACATTTTTAATAGGATTTATACATACTAAGAAGGAAAGTCTGTTTTTGTATTTGTCAGGACATGATGCCAAAGGCTGAAGCATTATTTTCTGGTAAGCAATTTCAAACAACCTCTAGTTTTTCAATCAGAATTAGTCTGACTAATCCATCTCTAGATATTAAGCATTTCATAAATTAGTTAAATATATATGCAGTATCCCAGGTGAATTTGATCTGTTGGAATGTTTAAGAATATAAAATAATTTCCATTTTATTGGAAAAGTGATAGATGGTATTTCAACTCAAAAAACCTACCGAAGTTTGAGAGATAATAGAAACAGACCTGAAAACTGTTTCACAAACCACAGATTAAACCTCTGGCCTTCAAATACTCCTTAGTAGCTCTTGGTGAGAAACTCATTCACCTACTTTTGACCTGAGGAAACAGGTAGAATGTATACATCTTCATGTATGTTTCCAATCACTTTGCTATCTACCATAACTAGGAAGCAGAACTGTCCACAGCCCTCACGAGAAATGGTGAAAGAAAAGTTTATATGACTGCTATAGACTTACCAATCAACAACTAATACAGTTGCTGCTGGTTGCAGAAGCTCATGCTGTGAATAACAAATGCAAATGCAGGTACAGCTTTTTCCAGCGGGACATAAAACGAGGTTTCTTCTCCACTAGCACCAAATTAAGCCTCACGCACTGGCCAAAACTGGAATAGGCTCCCTAAAGTCTTTTGTCTTGATATTTTTTTGTCTGTAAGACACAGTCCAGGGTTATACATTCTCCCTGAGAGTTCCTGAAATCAGCAACTTCCCAACCAAAACTGCCTCCTTTCTGGGGTTCATGGGGACATTTGGCAAATAAAAAAACCTGAAAAGCAGCTGCTCTTCTCCTTGTCTAGTAAGCCTTGTTTGTGAGCTAGGAAGGAACACGATCCTGGTCAGTGTTGTTAGAGACCCTACAGCCAGTAATCCCGACCCATCTTCCCACCCCTGTTGCAGAGCACCAAGGCTTCCAAGGTTTGCTCTCCCTTTGCTGGACTCTTGTGCATCAGTCAGGCAAGGCAAAAGCAAGCACCCAATCCATCTAGGGCATTTTATAATTATTATTATAATAAAGTATTTTTTTAATCAAGCCTCCATCAATTGGGCATCTAGTCAGATTTAAAAAAAAAATTCCTAAAGCATTTACTTCAGGGATTGTGTTTTGCATATTTCTCTTCCCACTTCGATGATTTTTCTTGTGTTGTTTCCATCTTGCTGTATCTCAGAAAAATCTATCTGATCACACAACAATGTACAAAGTTGTTATACAAAAAGGTTTCTAAATGCGTAACAAACAACAAAATTTAAAATACGATCGACATCTTTTCAGCCTACTTTTATCTCAGCCATTTTTTTGCACTCAGAAGTAAAAAAAAAAAAAAACAACCAACCGCCAACCCACCCAAAACATTAAGCAAAGACAAATTTTCAGTTAACTGTATCAATTTAAGTAATTAAATAACTGTTTTACTTTTCATAACATCAGAAGCTGGAGTACTAAAAACCAAAACAAAAATCATGATGTACGACATCCAATACATCCCTGGCATTATTCCACATAAATCAGTGGTATTACACCAGGGATTAATTTGGAACAGTGATGTGAATTAGAGGACTGTATACAGCAACCTCATCATAACACAGACACACACACAAAAATAACTAAAACGTTATGAGCATCACAAATGCACACAAATAATTATGCACCTACAAATCTATTTCTAAGCAAACGGAAAGACAACTTCATAGTCTTGATAATAACAATAAGGAATTTCTACTATTTAGAAAATAATTATATCCATTTTTCCCAGAAAAATGATTTAACAATATAAAATACTTGATAGTAAAATACTTAATAGAAGTCCACCCAGGAGAATGTGATGCTCCTCTACAGCTCAGTTTTTACATATCTTACTGAAATATGACCAGATATAAGTTATGCAATGACTCTTCAAAAACTGTTTTAATACCATTTTGAAGACTGATCTGAGTAGTTCAGTCTGCTCAGCAAAGGGTGGTAACCACCTGTATAATATATAGCAATCCAAACAATGTAATTAGTTTCTCCTCCCAGTAGAAAACCATTCACAGTTCCCTCCTTTTTTAAGTACTGTGCCTAAGTCCAGTTTTGCAGACAAAACAAGTTGCTTATGTTTAGCTGCCCTGTTACTGAAGTTAGTTGGAGGCTGCGTCTCCCACCTCACCACAGAGGCAGGCAGATGCTCTGCCAATTCGTCCCTCCTATGCTTAGGGAGCATGAGACCACACAGAGGCAGAAGAAAGAAGTGAATGCACATCATCTCTCTCTTCCTCCGGCTCACTCGACTATCAAACACATCTGTAATGTTTAAGGCTGCCTCTCTCTTTCAAAGACAAATCTCTGCCAGGGGTTTGTGTTCTCCATCCAGCTGCGGTTTCATTACCCGAACCCGCTGCTCAGCCAGTGCCCTACATAGCACTACATACTTTGCCAGATTGAAACTCATTCGTCATCGTTTAGTTTTCCGATTTGCGAGTGACCCGAAACCTTCAAGGCTACCCGCAGCCAACTAGCGAAGTTGCTCAGGAGCTGTGTACTGGCTATGCAGTGGTTTATTTTCTCTTTTCCATTTTTCTACCACCTTAGAGCCTGACTCTTTCTTGCTCCTCGGGAAGTTGGCTGTGCCCTCGCTGCTCCTTCCCTCCAGGGTACCGTGCCCAGGCGCAGTGCGCTCACTCGAAGAAAACGCAGCAATAAAATATTAAAACCCTTCCCTGCTCGGGGCTCCGCCGCCGAGATCTCTGCGGCGCCTGGCTGGCAGGGAGCACCGCAACTCTCCGCGCCGGAGCAGAGCCGGAGCCGTGCCCGCACCGCACCCGCGCCCGACCAGCGGGGCAGGGACCCTCCGGGCGCCGCAGCTCCCCGATCCCGACCCACCGCGACTTCCCCCGGGAGACCCCGACACGCAGGGGTCAGCTCTCCCCTCGGCACCAAAAGGTAGCAGCAGCCCCGGCTGCTTCACGGAGTGGGGGGAGCTGCTTCCACGCCGCGCTCCGGACGGGGCATCAGGAAGCCCTGTCCCGCCCCCACAACGCACAAAATGGAACTTGAACTGTGGCGGTGACAGAAACGAGTGAGAGGGGAAAGGGGGCAGCCCACGTTTCTCTCCAGCTTCATGTTGCTTTGGGACAGCAACATGGGGTGCTGTATGGGGGTGCACCTGTACTTTTAACTTGACACCGTCATGCATCCCCCGGGGGTGGGGACGAGCAGGACGGCACGGGAGCGCGGGCAGCACTTACTGAAGAAGATGTACTCGGTGTAGCTGCTCCAGATCTTGTCGTCCCTGTACTGGTTGATGAAGGCGGCGGTGCCGGTGGAGTTGCAAGCCACCATGTGGAAACCCGCCTCGGAGAGCCGGTCGAAAGCTTGCTCCAGGTAGGTGAATTTGAGGTAGAAGCGGGAGGTGTACTTCTCGGGGGGGCGGGCCCGAGCGCTTGTCCAGCGCCGCCCGCTGAAGCCGGTCGCTGCTGCCCTGCGAATTGCTATCCTCCAGGTCACTCTGGCAGCCCTCGTCGTTGAGCGAGCTCTGCTTGGTGACCTTGGGCGACAGCAGCTTCACCAGGTCGCCCAGCTGGAAGTATTCGGCCTCCCGCAGGAGCCGCTCCTTCTCGGGGAAGTGCTCGGGCAGCGCCAGCTGCTTGTCCCGCAGGTAATCCAGCACGTACCTGAAGAGGAAGCCGTCGCGGTCGATGAAGAAGCGTGCCCGGCTGTCCCTGGGCAGCTGGCGGCCGCCGCCGCGGCCGCCCCGCGCACCGGGAGACAATGGTAGGCCAGCGTGCGTCCGGGACGCTGAGCAGTCTGGAGTGCCTCGTCACGTACACCTGGCCTCCCACGATTCAGCTCCACCACTCGGGAATCGGCGATCTCCTGCCGACCGGGGCCCCGGATGGTACCATGTCGCTGATGGGCAGGATGCTGCCGCCCGCCTCCTTCAAAGCCATGGCTCGCGAGACGGGCAACTGGAACCTGCGAAGGAGGGTCTCCCCTCCTAAAACCAAGGCCAAGGGGAAATTATTAAATTTTCAACCCTCCGCTCCACCCCTCCTTCCCCTCTTCCCTCTCCCTCACACCCTACCTCCCTTCCTCCTCCTATTCCTTTCCTCCTTCTCTTCTCTTTCTTCCTCCTTCCCCCGCCGCCCGGCGCGCCGGAAAGCGCCTGACGGAGCCGCTGCTCTGGCGGCCCTCCGGCACGGCGGGCGGCGGCACAGACCCCTTTTGGGGCAGAGAGGCATAGGCGGCTGAGGCCGAGCCCGACCTGACCCGCCCCGAGCGCCCCCTGCCACGCCTGCTCCGACTCACCGCCCAGAGCAACGCCGGCGCGCGGGCCGCCGCGCGCTGAAACGGGCTCCGGCCCCCGAGCTTTGCCCGCCGCCAGATTGCCAGGCTGCCACTTTGCAAAGCCGTCTCCGCGCGCGCTTCTGGGCTCGCGCCCAGGGAAGAGCGAAGCCCCTACCCCAGCTCCTCCCCTCGCCTCGGCTGGCTGGCTTCGCTTTGAAATTATTTAACGCCCCCCCTCTCCCTTAAAAATCTCCCAGCCTCTCCCAAATGCCTATGCCTCTCCTACACTGTTGCGCCGGTCAACACTTGCAGGAAGAGCGAAGCCCCTACCCCAGCTCCTCCCCTCGCCTCGGCTGGCTGGCTTCGCTTTGAAATTATTTAACGCCCCCCCTCTCCCTTAAAAATCTCCCAGCCTCTCCCAAATGCCTATGCCTCTCCTACACTGTTGCGCCGGTCAACACTTGCAGAGTACTAGAATGATGGTCGTCCTTCCAAAAGTAGCATCCAACAGGATGCATATGACAGCATTTTTCCCCATCTTGCGTCTGTCAGCATGCCTTTATTGTGAGTGAAGGAAGCATTTAATTGAGGGCACAAAAGAAACCAGTGTTAAGCTGTGCTGGTGGCACAAATCTAATGGGCCCTGGTGGGACACAAATGCTGTATTTGATGTCTTGAAGCTTTGCTGTAGCACGGCACACTGGGATCTTCATTTTCAGAGAAGCTTGATGTGCTCACTAGCTTGACGATGGAATTGGGGTGATTCAGAGCAGAAAAAAAGTCAGCTGCCATTAGGATCCAGATAACAGACACTGATTTTGAACACGTTAGTGTCTGGATTCTTGGCTGTGAAGCAACTAAATTTGTAGTAGTAGAGTTTTTTAATCTTATTTGTTTCTACCCAGAGCCACAGCTCACCTGCATCCAGATTTCTGATGCATGTACTTTCAGGCTGTACTGCTGGAATATATTGGAGCCCAGACTTGTGTGTTGGGTAGGAGATGTACAATTGCTCTTGCCAGTAAAATCTGAGGCCTAAATCTGACTGTACTTCTCTGTCAGTGCTGCACCCAGTTATGCTGGGTGGTTCATGCATGGGAACAGTTCAGCTTTGTTTTTTTTATAACCCTCTAAATGTTAAGGGTTCAACTGTTAATTGTGCCACATAGAGGCAGGAGCCCAACTTGTTCTTCATTTAAACAAGAGTCACTTCAGGCCTGGGGGTAAAAATTATCATTTTGCAGGCAGATACAGCTGCAGTCTGTCACTTCCTCGCTATCGTGCTGTGATCAAGACAAATGGTCATCCAAAGCTTGGTCAGGCCTTTTAAACCACTAGTGTAAACTTCTCTGCTTTAAATGCTTTAAAGCAGTAACATACACATCCACAGCACTTCATCCAACCTGTCTTTCAAGGTGGGACAAATCTGTCCATGGTGCTACTTTCCTCCCTCCATTTGCTGTACACTAACACTAAATCTGTGTTGAGAGAGAACTCCTCTAGTTTTTACGTGGTTAGTGTTAAGGGAGGCACATCCACCACCCATTGGATCAGGAATGTGGCCAGACTGAGAAAAGACTCCTGGACAACTAGATGTGCTTCAAACATAAGAATTATGTGGGCGTAAAAGGGCTTGTCACAAAGAACAAATGTGCAGGAAGGATTTCTGCAGTGCACCTCCTTGACCACTTACTGAAACCAATTAATAGTTTTGAAAACAGAAAGAACTGTAAGAAACTAAGTAAAATTCTCTCTTTCCTTTTTTTATTTTGTGTGAAATGCAGAAAATTCAAAGGTCAGAAAAGTCGGAAAAAACATTCAAAGGTCAGAAAAACCACTAGAACTGCTAAGCAACAAGAAATCTGGGCATCATTGTTTATTGACCATTTTGTCATGTGTTTCTTCCTTTAACTTCAAATCCTTAAGACACAAGAGGAGACGGTTTTCATTGTCTTGTTCATTTCTGTAGGAGATATTATTTCTCCTGAGGACACAGTTGAAAGGTTTCTGCTGACTTCTAAGAGAACAGATTTCATACCCACCCTCTTCTGTGTAATATGGGGTAATAGTTTGCCCATGTGTAAGACAACTCATGCCAGAGTGTTGCATGGCTGTGACGCTGCAGCATCACACTGATGAGCAGCACTGAGCTGCTCCCATGCCCTATGTGGTGACATTACCAAGGGGACAATTGCATTTTTTTCTCCCCTTCAGAAGCCCATGGCCTTGGAAGAACTGTCTCTTAAACCTTCTCTTTGGTGACTTGTGTTTGTAAGGATATGTAATCTAAGGATACATAGTTTGGCAAAACAGAATGAGATCATTAATCACATAGAATTGCCAGAGTTTGACAGGTTGCATAGAAGTCACACATAAAATAAATATTAATGTATTACTCAGGAAAAGAAGTTTTTTCTGAGGATTATCAGGTAAAGAAGGGAGAATCAGTGCTACATTCTTCCTAGTGTCAACAGCAATTGCCTGAGGCACTTGAGAAATCCTTTTACCAAATGCTTGCAGACCCTTCTGTATTAAGCTCCTTTATGTTGCCTATTATTTGGTCAACTCATGGTTTCCTCTGTGAATAAGTATATACTAGGCCCGGTAATGTCTGTCTTTGAGTTGATGAAAATAGCCCATAAAAATTCTAAAGGTAATTTTTCTTGAGAATGGGCACAGAGAACATATGTGTGTTCTGTGTAGTAAGAAGCATCTACTTACAGGCTTACATTATGTGTAGTGCAGCAGCATCCTGGAGTGCTATTTGAGTGAAGTCTAAGGCTAGTACAATGAAAACAAGTAAATCTTTAGGTACATAACTAAATATCCTTAAGCTTCAGATATGTCAGGGTTTCTCATGCTTAAAGCAGAGGGGAAAAAACATCCACAGGTGAAAATCTGTCTTGATCTGTTTCCTTATCTGTAGGAGTGTTTTGAGATAGGGCTGACAAATTCATGTTAGTAAGAATGTCTTTTGGAGGTTCCCTTAGGCAGGCACACAGTGCAAGCAGCAGGTGACAACAGCAACACCCCTTTTGGAAGCAGCCTGGAGGGACACAGGCAGGACAAGTTCCTCAGATAAAAAAATTCTTTTCACTGTAGTCTTTCCTGCCCTGGAGTCAGTCAGTGTGCTGGTTTGACCAGGCTACGTGATAAATCTAGGCTTAAATGAGAGGATCATGCTGAGAGAGGGGGAAATGACAGAAAGGAAAGTCAAGAAGATCATCCAGACTACATCATGTAGATCACCCAGGTCATTCTTATAAAAAATTCATGTAGGTAAAAGTACACATTTACTGCTGCTCAGACTGTCCAGTTCTGAAATGGAAATTAGAATATCAGGAATTAATACATTTACTTGACTTATTGCTCAGTCAGATTTTGAACTGATTTACCTAGCTAAAGGTAACTTTTTACATTTAAAAAAATGTTTCAGTATTCTCTTGTGAAACCGTATTTGGTAAAATCTGGCAAATAGAACATTTAATGTTTCTGAGAAGAAGAGAGGTGGAAACGAGAGTTTTCTTCACAAGAGACTTGTTTTAAAGACACAATTCAGCATCATTAAAAAAAATCATTCAGTAATACAATCCAAGGTGATTGGATAACATGAAATGAAGGATACATAACGACTTTTCAAATTATAAGTGTAAAAAAACCTTATTTCTCTATGAAAATGAACAACCAAGTGGAGGATAATGTGTAGGAGAAGAACAAATACTGATATTAGGCACTTAATTGGAGGTTCTTAGAGAGAGAATTATAAAAAATTCTGTAATCCCAGCAAGTGAATAAATTAACTTTTTTAATAAGAAGTAAATTATTCTGGTAGGCTCCCAGTGAAACCAAGGGAACTTGGTCTTTTGTCCAAAGTTGCAGGATCAGGGAGGAAGAGTAGCTCATCATGCAGAAAAAGTTCCAGATTATTACGATGAGCAGGTCTACAATAATTACACAAATCACCTAGTAAGAATTTAAGATGATTATGTTGTCTTTCAAAAAGTCATCAGCCCAAAAACTGACATTAAAACTGTCGATGAGAGTGTGAGAAACTGCCAGGAGAATCATATTTCTAAGGCTGCTGCACTCTGACTCAGTAAGCCTAGAAGTCTTGGCTGCTTTCACAATTCCTTCTCTCTACTTGGTTGTCATTTCTGTCATTTTCACAGTTTTTAATATTTTCCTGTTAAAAATTCTTACATCTTACTTGTTCCTTTATATCTTATTCTTTGTTGGCAAGAAAGTATCATTCTAAAGAAATGGCTTTTCTAAAGACTCTGAGCTTGTCAATTTTCTAACAGTCAACACTTCAATATAAATGTTATGTTTGTTCCTTATTGGCTCATTCCTCACATTTTCCTTCTGGCCCAAAAATTCATCCATTTTAAACCTTAGAGGTATTTATATGTAACATTTCATTATTCCAAAATTATTGGAATTCTGTCTTACAAGGATTTGTATTTATGTAACTAATTCTCAGAGTTAAACAGAAGCACTCATACGTGTAAAGTTAATGCTGCGGGAATTTGTACGTTCAGGACCTAAACAGCATTTTATACATTTACATCAGTGTTATAGATTATTTAATTGCACTACTGGGACTGAAATCAGAAGAAATTGGACTGCATGCTTGATTCTGGGAATGTAGAAACTTTCTTCTTTA